GGTGGCCAAATCAAAGCGACGGCCCGGCCCCGCGAGAGACGCAGGTTCCTTCGCAAACGACTTGCGCATGAGAGTTTTCCGGGTTCTCCTTTGTGAATCTGTCAGCGTCCTGTGATCGCGTGCAATGCCAGCCGAGGCTGGACCATGCCTCGGCGAACGGCTGGGTCTACGCAGAAGAGCTGGACGGCAGCCGCTGCGGTTGGCTTCCTGCGGCCCGGATGTCGAAAGCGCGCCCTCTCTCTCAGGGGCTCCCGGGCTGCCCGGGCTACCCTCTATGCTCCCAAAAAAGGAAGAGACCTAAGGAAGTGCCCCGGAACCAGCTTGGGCCAAAACACCTCTGCTTGGAACGCACGCAAGACACAGTGAGCTCTTACTTGACAATCGGCACGTTATGATCCCCGCAGGTGCAACGAATGTGGTACATGGGTACGCATTCAACGCACTTCTTTTCCTCAACCCCCAACGGCACTTTTCCCGCCTCGAACGCCTGGCGACGTTTGCGGACACACCCGGAACCATTCGCTACGCATGAGGGGATCCAGCAAAGAAACAACAATGAATATCCTGGCAGCTGTAGTGTTTGGGTCTTCGGTATGTATTGGCTTGTTGCAATTCTTCAGGTCACTGCCATCGAGCAGCCTCAGAAGAATCAGGTGTGGGCAAAGGCCGGGGGCCGCATGTGGCGTCGCGATGCCTTTGGTTCGCTGCTCTTTGGACTGTCAAAAAGGGGGTCCCCACCCCGTTTAACTGGAATTGGGTGAAGTGGTGGTTTCTGGAATTCCAATTATGGCTCCCTTTCCCCTTTACTGGGGAAGACTGGAAAGATGGAATTGGGGGACCCCCCCACGCTCCCCCTCAAGAGCGATCGATTCATGGTACTTCTGTGCTTTGTATAGACGGGTTCCGCAGCTTGGCTGTTCAAGATGCAAGCGCGGGATAGTGGCTTCAAACAATTGGGGGGCCATTAAATGGTGCAAGCACCCCGGCAAGAGAAAATTGAACCACCGTCACACGGAATCCCCTGAGAGGATGATCAGCTTTTTGTTGCCCTCCGCAGCAAACACATTTCATCAGGTTGGCATGGATCTCCCCCCCCCCCCAAAAAAAAAAAGAGGGAAAAGGAGAGGAAAACAAGAGAGCAACCAACAAACAAGCAAGCAAGCAAGCAAACAAACAAACAAAGAAAGAACGAAAGAAAGGAAGGCAAGAAAGAAAGAAAGCGAGAAAGAAAGCAAGAAAGCAAGCAAGCAAAAAAAGAAACAAAGAAGCAAAGAAGCAAAGAAACAAAGAAACAAAGAAACAAAGAAACAAATAAGCAAATAGACAAAGAAGCAAAGAAGCAAATAAGCAAAGAAACAAAGAAACAAAGAAACAAAGAAACACAGAAACAAAAGAAACAATGCAACAAAGAAACAAAGAAACAAAGAAACAAAGAAACAACGAAACAAAGAAACAAAGAAACACAGAAACAAAGAAACAAAGAAGCAAAGAAGCAAAGAAACAAAGAAACAAAGAAACAAAGCAGGAAAGAAGGAAAGAAGGAAAGAAGGAAAGAAGGAAAGAAGGAAAGAAGGAAAGAAGGAAAGAAGGAAAGAAGGAAAGAAAAATACAGAAATAAAGAAAGAAAGAACGAAAGAAACAATGAAGGACAGAACGAAAGAAGGAAAGAAGGAAAAACATAAATAAAGATAGAAAGAAACAAAGAAAGAAAGAAAGAAACAAAGAAACAAAGAAGGACAGAAGGAAAAACATAAAGACAGATAGATAGAAATAAAGCAAGAAAGAAAGAAAGAAATAAAACAAAAAGAAAGACATAAAGAAAGAAATCAAGAAAACAAGCAAACAAGAAAACAAGAAGCAAGCAAGCAAGCAGGCAAGGCAAGGCAAGGCAAGGCAAGGCAAGGCAAGGCAAAGGAAAGGAAAGGAAAGGAAAGGAAAGGAAAGCAAAGCAAAGCAAAGCAAGTAAGCAAGTAAGCAAGCAAGCAAGCAAGCAAGCAAGCAAGCAAGCAAGCAAGCAAGCAGCAAGAACGAAAGAAACGAACAAACAAACCAAACAAACAAACAAGAAGCATTCATTTGCACAGGTCCTGCACTGCCCGCGGGCCCAGCGCTGTGACCAGCTGGCCGGGATCTCAAGCGTGCCGCTCCTAACATCCCATCTTGAGCATAACTCTGGGGGTAAACAGAGCTCACCCATGAGGAGCCTGTACTGGGGGGTTTCCTTTTGGGCAACTTGGGAATGGGAATTTCTTCAGATCTTTTAGGTCCTCAATTCCAACCACTATCATTTTTGTTGACCACCCACATGTATTCCAAGACAGGTGATTTTCCCGACTGCTAGCGATTGACAGAAGGAACAAGGAAATTAGGGCCCAATTAGGGTTCCTGTTCTTTGCAAGGCTCCACTCAGATGCTCGCAAAGTCGTGTTGGTGTAGGTAAACAAGCGCTCCCCTGCCAGTTCACATAGAACCCAAACAGGCCCCCCAAAAGGAGATTCGTTCAGAAAAGGCTGCTTCTTGGGTTCCATTTTGATGCGCGGCCTGATTGTCCTGCAGCCACTGTGGGCATTCTTCTTTGTGATGCATGGCCATGGTTGGAACTCAGAGCACCCAAGTGGGCGAACCTGGGGAGAAAAGAACTTCCCTTTGGGGAAACAGGCGTGCAACCTTCTCATTTCAAGCCAGGGCCGGTTTCATCGGTCTTTTGGTGCCGGCGGCCGTCGGCAGGAGGTGCCTTGCGGCAACTACCTTCTCGTTGAGTTGGGCTCAGAGAAAGACGGCTGGGTTCACGCGTCGCCCTTGGACTCTGGCTCGTGCGGCAGGAATGTGCGTGCTCGCTCATGGGTGCCAACTTGGCGCTGTTTGTATTTTGGCGTTGACGCAATTTGCCAGTGCCGTTGATTTCTTCCGAAAGGCACCTAGGCGTTCGCCGAGTCCACGTCCTCTTCTATGTTTGGGTTATGTTCACTGGTGAGGCCCCTGGCCATTGAGGAATGTCTCGTCGGCAAGGCCACTTGATGCGTGTGTTTGCGCGTGCACATTTCCTCCCCGTATGGAAAATTAGCATCGATGTCCATACTTGCAAGCATGATTCAGGGGAAGGTGCGCCGGCTAGCAAGCGTGTAACAGTCCTAGGGTTGTCAAGGGCGCCCTCAAAAGGAGGCCTCAATCCCAACGGGGCTAGGTAGTGCCGAGGCTTAACAACAAGATCCAAAAGGGCTCTTTTGATTTTTCCTTGGAAAAAGTCACCATTTGCGGCGGGCCCTCAGAACTTGTAGAATCTTGTATGGCCGCCCTAGCGGCCAGGTTTGAGCGTTGCTGGGTCCAACTGCAGACTGTAAAGGCTCGCGGTTTCAGTCAGCTTGTGTGGATTTGTCCTTGTTCAGGGGCCTCACTGGTTTGTTCGGCAATCCAACGCCCAGGCGGACGAGCCACTCGATGGCCTCAGCGGTCGCATGAGGCTGGATTGGCTCGAGCTGTGAAGCGCTTGCGAGATGCGCGACGCGTGCACGAGCCGCGAGTTGCGGGTCGGCCCTTCCCAAACCGCACCGGCGGTTTGCGGACTGGAGTGCATATTGGAGTGGCTCGAGTTTTGAAAAATGACATCTGCTGGTTTTGCTATGGCCGGCCGCATGTGCACAGCCCGCGGCATGCACTACCCGGGGGTGCCCGGTGTCCGACGACCGCCTCACGTGCGGTCGGATTTGCGGGCCACAAATGCCCAAAGTTTTCACGAGCCGCCGTAGTTTCGATCGGGGGCTCTGGAAAGGGAGGAGGCTGCACCACTGCTATCCGTGCACCCAACACCTGCGTAGATTCGATTTTGGGAGCATGAGCCATGGCAGTCTCCAACCTTGCTTCTGTCCAAAGGTGTACAGGCGGTTGCCATGGTCAGAAATGGCCGTGGCTCCTCAAAGGTGCGGTAATCCCAAGAATTGTTCGGGGCTCCACTCCGTCAAAAGGCTTGAATTTGGCCGAATGGTTCCGAGGCCTGCGGAGACTTATCAGCTGCTTGTATGCTGGTGGAGCCCAGTCCGTGCTCCCGTGGCGTAAGGTTGGTAAGCGAAGGCTCCGCACGCGGTTTGAGCAGAGGTTCCCATAGGTGCTGTGCACCGCGTTGCAGCCACTGGCAAGTTACGTTTGAACCCTGGGCAGGGTTGAGCCGTCAATCGCTCGAGTTTGACGTACACGGTAGCCGATTTCTTCCTTGTGGCCCAACACTATTTGCCCAGGTAGTGGACTCGTGGGTGCCTTCACAAGCGGACAGGCCGTGGTTTCTGTTCTGTTTCAGGAGATTGCTCGTCAGCATGGCGAAGGCACCCAAAATGGCGCATGCTGTGAGGTACATTGCCAAGAAACTGGAAAGCCACCCAGTAAACTTCTCAAACAAGTTAAGTGCTTTGGGAGTAGGCACGGGGATTCACAATTTCTCAAGAGGATTCCTCTGGAAGAGCAATCAAATCGACGTGGCCATGCAGCAAGCAGGGGATACATCCACCGCTTTGGAGCATTTTGTCATGTCAATTTGTGCTGAAGGGCGTGTAAAGGCTTGGCTAAAAGAGTTCCGCGCTAAACCGAACCGCAACCGAGTTTTCTGGCACTGCCGGCGGATTTCCTAACGTTGGAGGTCACTTCTTCATGTTGTTGACTGGGCATCAACGTAAAGCCGGGAAGCCTCTTTTTTGCCGGCTACGTGCTTCAGCTTCTTGGCCAGTGTTTCGCAGAAACGCCACGTGGAGCGATGTATACAAAGATGGACCACGCCGAAGAGGTGCCGAATCCAAGCAGAAGCAGCGGGGAAAAGCCGCTTCTGGCAGTGTCAGCCGGGCGAAGCTGCAAGAAACTTCTTGGGCGTGACGAGGGCGACCTTGCCTTTTATGCGTCAAGGAGCTTGTCTTCGCGGTCTTGTACACCGCATTTGCATGTGAAGCCTCTTCTTGTCCAGCGCATCGTGCTCCCTCAAGTTTCAGCAGGGCTTTTAAAATCTGTATTCGCCTCAGGTCAAACATGAGCAACGACACCAGCGACACCAGCGAGGCATTGCGGAGGAAGAGGAATCGTGGGTCGGACTTTGGAATCCCAGCTTCCCCTATGGAATCAACCTCCCAAGTTTGTTTTTACCCCCCCCTCAAGGATGTTGGGCTAGCCTGATGCTGATCCCCTGTTCTGAGACTCTTCTTTCGCCAGACGGAGCTGTCGAACGACGACTCCACCAACCAGAGCGACGTGGACGATGATGAGGTTCAAGGCCCGCTGTGCCGAAAGTAACGGGCAGACAGTGTGGCGTGCTGACCCCGGTTGTTCAGTGGCATCCATGTTGTTTTGTGTGCGTTCCCCAAAGCAAGTCGACCCAGGAAGGGCTTTGGGGCAACTGGGTGTAACTCAAGGTTGGGCACTCTTGTATACAGGTTGAGCAGTGCCCAAACTTCCGTTGGCCAGTTTAGTACACTTCCTAGTTTGATGGGGCCATAGTAAGGTCCATCTACACCTTTTAACCAATCTTGGAAGAACTAAAAGTGTGTTTGTCCTCAGTTGGGATCCAAAAACACCTTCACAACCATTGCCACGACCTCGAGCGCCACCACCGCCGCCACTGCCACCGCCACCACCACCACCACCACCACCACCACCACCACCACCACCACCACCACCACCACCACCACCAGACATCAAGGGAAGTGGTCGTGACGTCAAGAGTTCCTCCTTGGGGCTCGTAGTAGTGGGCTTCGAACCAAGATCTTGGCTTTCTGCGCTGGTGCACGAAACCTGTGAAACCCGTTGAAAAAGGGCAGTGTCTAGGATTCAAGAGGTTCTGAAAGAAAGTGACGTCGGCAGAAAGCAGCTTGGAAGCTGTTGGGGGGGCTTGCTGTCAATATTGCTGAATGCACCCGTGGCCTTTGATTGTTGCTTCGCATTTTCGTACCTGCGGCAAGTCCCAACGTTTTGCCGCGAGGCTTTGCGAATGCCTCGAACGAAACCAACGCCACAGCCAACGTCACACAGGCGGGTGTGCGCATTTAGCAAGACCTGCTAGCGGTTTGTTTTTGAAAAAGACGAAAGCGGCTGCAGATTTTTCTTCTTTGTTGAAGCTAGCAATTGTTTTTGGTACCCCGGCACACGTCAGGATGGCCTGGCCTTCTTTCTGACCAACAGGACCCACAAGATGCTTCGGCACCTTGCCTGGCAGAGTGCTGTGGGAACGGATTTGCAGTGCGAATCCATTTGGACCCGCCGAGCAGGGCGCTTTGGACAGGCTGCAACGATGTGGGAACTGACCGTTTTTCTCAGCCACCAAGAAAGGTCACGGACCTAGTTCGATGCCGGACCTAGTTCGATGCTTTGTGTCCCACGACACGGCAACCCAAGGTGTCTTCTTGTGAGCACTGTGTGGCCCAGGGTGCAGTGCCAGCTTCTTGACCTCTTCCTTTCAGGGGTAAGCTTGCACCAGCCGCTGTCCCAATAGAGTCAACCACAAGTGTGTCACACTGCCAAGCATAGTTCGATTAGGCTCCCTGCTGCAAAGCCGAAGAACATACATGCGCCCGAGCCTGCTTTCTTTTGACCATATTTTACATTGCAAGTTTCACTAAAGCCGGACGTTTTTTGGCTTGGTGGGGGTAGATGAAGCAGTGATTTCTAGCCGAGGCTTCCCCCACTGCCAGTTTCTGGCGGCAGCTTCCGGTTCGTGGCGGAGGCAGACCGGGCCTCAGCGCGGTTCTGTGCCGCGCTTGAGAGACAGAGCGACAAGACGCAGACACACAGAGAGACCGAGGCAACGATGCAGGGGTAGAGATGCAAAACGCAGAGACGGCGAGACAGAGAGGCAGAAAGACAGAGAACCAAAGAGACGGAGAGATATGAGAGACACACAGACATAGAGACAGAGAGACACAGAGAGACACAGAGTCAAAGACAAAGAGGGGGGGAAGGGGAGAGGGAGAGAGAGAGAGAGAGAGAGAAAACAAACACACACACAAAAGACGAAAAAGAAGCGCACAATAGTTGAAACTTCCGCCCCACTGCTCTGCCATATCTGCCGGACTTTGCTGGTACTTCAGTTTGATGTGTCTGCCTGCAAGTCAGCGAGTCAGTAATGACTGCGCGAATTAATTAAAACATAGCCTAGCCCAACATTTTTTAAAATACTGCGCGCAATTTTAATAAAAAAGCAAAAAGGTACTAAGGACACATAACGCTGATTAAAACAAGCTTCAACACATACAACACATAGCGCCAAATCAAGTGACACGTATTGTTTAGTTTGGTGCGTAATTAAAAGCAAAGCGCAATATAGAACAATGTTTGATTCAACTATTGATTGCGCAAAATCAAGTAAATATAGCGCGCAGCATTGAATTAATTTTGCGCAGTATTTTAGATATTTTGCGCGCAGTATTTAATTAAGCAGCGCAGTATTATTCGAATATAGCGCTTTGCTTTAATTAGTGCCGTAAAATAAATTAAATAGTGCGCTGTTCATTAAATCAAGCGCGCTATAGAACTAGAGCACGAGTGTGTGCAGGTTTTGACTTCTTTTGGGGGGCCCCATGTCAACTATCATTTGGGGCGTCATCTTGAGGGTATCACTTCGTGGCCCCAATGGGAGGCGGCTGACATCCGGGGCCAAATAGCCCAGAGTGTTTAAACAATCCAAGCAGAAGCCAACATGACGATTTGCAATGTATTCCTCTCTAGATTTCAACTACCTCAAAGAGACGGATAACCACTGGAAAAAGCAACGGAGCCATTGGCTGATTGCATGGATCCCCAGTGAACGCTTGGCCTGCTTGATGGGTTAACCTACTCCCAAAGAGGGCCATGGTCACATAGCGCACATGTTACTTGCAGTCACTTTTGCAGTCACTTGTGTCTCCATTCCGCCTTCGGGCTACATACAACTCCGGACCAAGCGCTTTCGCTCCCAGGACACGATCTACACTGTCACCTCGCGGAACGACACGGAGGTGCCGGCCATTCAGGATCGCAGCCTGGAGGCCAGAAGGGGACGGGGCGGAGGAAGATTTTACAATCGTCAAATACACAAGTTATACGTATTTTTTTTCGGCTTGAAGAGCAAAACAGAAACGTGACCAGATGCCGCTGGGCTACCCTCCAAAAAAGGCAACAGACTGAAGGAAGCCCCGAGAGGTGAGAGACTCAACCATAGAGCATGCAAGGTATGCACTGAAAGTGATGTCCCGGGTCAGTGAGATGCATGGGTGAGCCTCTGACAGGGGTGTTGTGTTACTCTTGCGCCTGTTGGCCAGGCGTAGGTTGTTTACGTTGCATCCTTCAAATAGCATGTGGGCCGATTGACAGCAAAGCATATGCGAAGCCCCTGTCCTCGGTTTCGTTGGCCCAGCTGGTAGAGATGACGTGAGGGTTGCCCCGGGCCAGAGTCAGCCCAAGCGCCCAAGAGCCATGGCGAGCGTCCGGAATGACGCGCTGCAGAAGCGCTGCTCGGACAATGAAATCTGAAAGTTAGGAGGGACCTTTTGCTTTGGACCCCCGGAAAGGTTCAGAACACGACCAGGAACTCTCAAGAGAACCTGTCCTGGGGGGTGGTTGGGCAGCAAAGTTGCAGTGAAACATATTGAAGCTTCAAGTTGCATGAGTGCTGCGTGTCCGGTGGCAGCATTTTTTTTGGTAGGGCCTTTCCTAGCATCCCAGAGATGCTCCTGCACCCCCAAACCCAACTGGTCAACTGCTCCCCCACGGCCTCTTTCAGTGCCAAGGCACCGTGGAGGGGAGCCTGAACTTCTACGATGCTTGGCCTGTGCTCTGGGGATTTTGTGGCATGCAACATCCCGTTGCCAACGTAGCAAGTACCAGAGTAGTACCAGTGATGGCAGCCCACCAGTGATTCTCATGGAGATTTGTGTGGCGATCATTGACCTTTGTTTTCTGGGGCTTTGAGGGCCATTGAGGGCCATGAATTTGATTGGCCTCTTGGGTTGCGTCAGTGTCGGAGCTCATGGTGAGGCGACCTCTGTGGCAGCTTCCGTGGAGCCCAACTGAGCCCAAACGGGTCCCAAAGGGACATATCTGGCGAGGGCAATTTGGAGCATTTGTTTGTTTTGTTTTGCCATCCTCGCAAAAAGATACGGGTTACTTCCAAAAGCCCCTGAAATCACCCACACCAAGCAACCATAAGCCTCTCAACCACACCCTTCACCCACCAATTCGGGAACCAAGCTTCAGGACAACCACCAGGGCTGCGGCACTGCCGCGGACAAGGCCCTGGCAGCACGGCTCAGCGGCCACAGTGGCTCGGATGGGGGGAACCAGTGCGCAGCATAGTCTTCTCTGGGGCGCAAGTTGCGGCACAGTCGAAGTCTCGATACGCGGCAAGGTCAAGCTGTGCTGAGGCTGTCCGAAGCTGGAGCCAATAATGATAAAATTCAGGCAGAGGGTCCTTCCAAATGCATCAGGTTTCGTATCCATTGCAGTGGGAACACAATCCACTTCCAGGGCATTGCTTTCATGTTGGGTGACAGCACAACAATTAATTTCAACAACCAGCCGTGGTAAAGGGATCATCTGAAAGAAAACCTCTTCAACATGTTTGAACAGGTGTATTCGCTCCACCGGCCTCTTGCTTGTCCCCTTCAAATGGAAGGACCATTGCCAGTTGGGCAACCTATATTGTGTGAGGTCTTGTCAAGGAAAGCATGAGGGTTGTCACCTTATATTGCACCTTGTGACCTTGTGTGCTCGTCTTTTTGTTGAGTGCACCCTTTTGGGGATGTTTAACGGAGCTCTTTTGGTTGAGTTCCCCTCATTTGGAGACAGGCCCATGTCCCATTGGCAGCATTGCCCTCCATAGTTGGGTGGGTTCCCGTGTCGAGGCTACAACATCATCAGCAACTCGGCTGTTGGTGAGCGGCGAGCGCCGGAGCTTCGCGGGCCTCTGGCGGGTCGCTTCCTGTTGTCCTCCTCTTGGAGGAGGGACTCCCCTGAAGATCAACGAGCAACGACAGGGTGTACCCTTGTTTTGAAAGGGTCACTGACGTTCTGGGCTCGATTTTTTCGCAATGCTGGCAATGAAGAGTTCCAGCCACACTTACGAGAGATACCTGCCCAATTCATGGCCTCGAGGTGAATCATCCGACGGGTGCACTATTTTGCGGGTTGTTGCCTCGGAGCAAATCTCGGGCTGCTTGGGACTCTGGGTATCCAATCTGAGTTTTCATTGTCTTCATAGGGTCCTGATATTTGCCTCGGGGTGGCTCAAACATTCTCCAAATCGACATCTCAGAGGCATTGGCCCAATCGCAATCCGAGGCAACCAGGCCGCTCAGATGCACTACACGGCAAAAGTATCATGCCGAGCCCGGCGTTTTCCTGATGGCCTGACCTGGACGTTATCCAACCTGACCTGGACTTCCAAGTTGGTGGAATTGCTTTTGGCCATTTCCTAAACGCCATCGTGTCTTGTCAATGCGGGATGTAAGGACAGGCATGAGGTCTACCTCCGCAATCTCCGGCATGACGAGCACTTCGTGGACCGGAAAGGCCGCTGGAAGTGTCACACCTGGAGCATACAAGTTGGGATGGAAGCCCTGTGAATGCTTGGACCTCACTACATCCAGTTGCCATTTGGTGCAGAAATTTTGTCCACAAGGCGGGCAGCTGCAACTCGGAGCCCTTGTGATTTGCACGAAAGGCCGCCACACCGCGGCTTTCTTTGGCGCGCGCCGGCGGAAGTATGCGCCGGACGAGCGCGCCACGGCTGGAAGGGTGCGGGCTTCGTTTGGAGTGGGCTAGGGATCTGGGGGCAACCAGGGTGAATTGGGTAAGATCATAGCCTTCTCGTACCCCCAGTGAACATCCCAATCCCAACCAAAATCGACTAAAATTGGTGGTGCACCTACCCCTAAAATGGTACCATTGGTGCACGGCCAGAAGGGGAGCACGTCTTTCATGCAGCCTTTGGTTTATAGTGAGTATCAATCAGTTAGCACACGGCATTCCAACGTTGAGTGCTAACTGTTTGGGCGCTTGCGCAGCGTTTTTTCCCAAGCCGTGGTTGAGGCCCAACAGTTAGCACTCCAACTAGTCTGGCAGTCGGATTGTTCAAGGTCTTTGAAATAAGGCTTGGCATCAAAATAGCTTTACATGGGCATTGGAAGGAAGGACGGAAGGAAGCACGGAAGCGAAGGAAGCGAAGGAAGCAAAGGAAGCAAAGGAAGCAAAGGAAAGGAAGGAAGGAAGGAAGGAAGGAAGGAAGGAAGGAAGGAAGGAAGGAAGGAAGGAAGGAAGGAAGCAAGGAAGCAAGGAAGCAAGGAAGCAAGGAAGCAAGGAAGCAAGGAAGCAAGGAAGCAAGCAAGGAAGCAAGGAAGCAAGGAAGCAAGGAAGCAAGGAAGCAGGGAAGCAGGGAAGCAGGGAAGCAAGGGAAGCAAGGGAAGCAAGGGAAGCTAGGGAAGCAAAGGAAGCAAAGGAAGCAAAGGAAGCAAAGGAAGCAAAGGAAGCAAAGGAAGCAAAGGAAGCAAAGGAAGCAAAGGACGCAAAGGAAGCACGGAAGCAAGGAAGCAAGGAAGCAGGGAAGCAAGGGAAGCAAGGGAAGCAAGGGAAGCAAAGGAAGCAAAGGAAGCAAAGGAAGCAAAGGAAGCAAAGGAAGCAAAGGAAGCAAAGGAAGCAAAGGACGCAAAGGACGCAAAGGAAGCAAAGGAAGCAAAGGAAGCAAAGGAAGCAAAGGAAGCAAAGGAAGCAAAGGAAGCAAAGGAAGCAAAGGAAGCAAAGGAAGCAAAGGAAGCAAAGGAAGCAAAGGAAGGAAGGAAGGAAGGAAGGAAGGAAGGAAGGAAGGCAGGACGAGACTCAGAGCTGCGCAGGGTGCTGCAGAGTTGCGCAGGGTGCTGTTGCAGGGTGCCATGCCAGAATCATCATTACTTCGAAACATCCTGGGGGGGGGGGGGGGCGCCGCAGTTGCGCCGATGGATGCACCTAAGGGAGAAGCGCGCCCTTCGCCGAATAATGGGGGTGCATGCCACGCACTAAAACTCACTGTAGCTAGGAGGAGCGCATTGGCAAGCGTGATGATCCGAAGAGGCCTGGCTGACACCAGCTGAGAAGGCGCTAGGGTCTGGCGTGTGCTAACTGTAAGTCAGACGTTTGGCCGTATGTTGGGCCTTACAAGCTCAGCCTGAGCGGATTCTTGAAGCTTGCTTAGCCTGAGCGGAAGCCCAAGTGCGTTTGCGCTTGCGTTCGCACATGCCTGTGCGTGGCATCCGCGTTTCTCCCGAAAGTTTTTTCGTTTGCCCGCCAAGGCCCCTTCGCGTGGCATCCGTAGCCGGCTCGAGCGGGATCCCGAGCTGGCTAGCGAGCCTGGCCGTTTTGGTCCTTTCAGCCGCCTGCGCGTTGCGTCCCGAGTGGACTCCCGAGCGTGGCGATTCTTCTCGCTGTCGCAAGGCGCCCCGCATGACAGGGGTGGTGGCGACGTAGCGGATCGTTCAGGACTGATGCGCTTGGCCCGAGCGGGGTCCCGAGCGTGTCTGCTTGGCAAAAACTGTAGGAGAAGCGCGTTGGCAAGCGTGATGCGAACACTCCTGGCTGACACGGCCAAAGGAGGCGCAAGCGGGTCTGGCGTGTGCTAACTGTATGGCTTCGGCAAGAGGGTCTGACGCCTTTGCGTGGCACCCGTGCTCGCCCCGAGTGGGATCCCGAGCGGGCTAGCCAGCCTGGCCGTTTTGGTCCTTTCAGCCGCCTGCGAGTTGCATCCATAGTAGTTGGCCCGAGTGGTCCTTATCTGCGCCTTGGCGCGGCGCACGTGTTTGGCCCGAGCGAGATCCCGACTGTGTCTGCTTTTGGTCCTCACCAGCGCCTTTGCGCAGCGTCTGTGCTCGGCCCTCCCTGCGCGGCAAAACTTCAGAGCACGGTGTTTTTTCAGGATGATGGACTTGTCTTTTCTCGCGGGTAAAGCTTCCACACGGTGTCCTAGCCCAGCTTGAGTTCGGGACGGCAATGCGTTTGCGTTTGCGTGCAACATGATGCAACA